GATGACAGGCTGAGCCACCGAGCCCGGCCAGGCTGCCCACTTTCAAGCCAGGTTTCTACTGGTCCTGAACAGCCCATAAGATACCGCGGAAGCCACCATCGCTAGGGTCTCTGTTCTGCCTGGCGTTATTGCATGCAAGAGCCATTTTGCTGCCTGTGTGTTCAATGGTGTGGTTTAAAACGCTCCAGAACAGGAAGGCTAGCAACGGGCCATGGCTCACCTGGCACGTGGCTTCACGAATGCAGTTTATCAGCACACAGTCACGCCCAGCCATCTGCAGGTCACAGGGGCTGCTGCTATGCGAGGACAGCAGAGCCGAATAGCTGTGACAGGGCCATGCGACCCCAGAGGCTAAAACGTGCACTCACTGTCCATCTACAGGAAAAACCTGCCAACCTGCTATCCATGACAAAGCTCGAGCTTCAAGAGCACCCCAGTGGGGAGGGGCAGGCGTGGCAGGGAGATCCCGGGCCCACGCCAGCAGGCTTGCCAACACCATCATCTTCGACGGATGCACAATGTTTTAAGACTGGCTGCAAACGTTTGAAAGGCTCAAAAGAGAGATTACATAAAAGAATTCTCCAAATCTTTGGATCACTACACAAATAAATTAGGATGAGCTAACACAATGGTGGCTATTTAGATCCTCTGAATAATTTCCCCAATAACGCGGAAGCTAGAATCAACACGAGCCACTGCCAGGCTCCAGCTAAGTACATGACAAGCGATACTACGTATTCCTCCCCCGGGGTGCGTGTGACTGCCTCTAGCTTCCCATGTTCCTAGCAGGGACGGATGAAGAAGCTTGGCAAGAACTTGTTTGCGGATACAAACAGCCCAGACCGAGAGCAGCACTAACTCCAACTGGACTCAAAATGCTCTGAAAATGGCAGGAGTCTATATGCACCTGTCTAATGGACACACTTCCAACATGGGTTGACGGGATCCACACGGGATGGGGTCTTCGGATGTGAATGTTAACAAAAGATTCCAGAAACTTCAACGATAGGTTTGGAACTAAAAAACAGGAGCATAGCTCAAGTTATAATCCCTTTCACTTCCTAAATACATAAAGTTTGAATGTGAAAGTACAATAATGCGATCTCTCCTGCTTAGCTCTTATTTCTTACTGTAGAAACATATGAATACAGTTTCTCTTCAATTTCTCGCTTTCCATTGAGCTAAATGCCTACATTTTACTCTCAATGCTATCTACAAATATACCTCTTGAATTTCAAAAGCATTCTAGTACACCTGCTGGTTACGATAAGCTTTGCTCCTCTACTTTTGATACCGAGAACAGATTTTTTTTTTTTTTTTTTTT